GCAGCAAAAGAGCATGCTACTGGGCAGATGTGAAGAAATACCATGTGAGTTAAATGTCATCAAAACACGTATTTGTGTTTGTGTTTGTGAAGTTAACCATCAATGAATGTGTGTCTATAAACATACACGATAACGCGATAGCTAAACAGTAAACACCAGTAAATGCGATAGCTCTCGCCGACTACAATGCCCTTGATTCAGCAATCGTCTTCTTTGACACGTTGCCCCCCCCGACAATCGCTTCACAATGACATCCTTTCAGATCCGTGGCACGTTTTTCAGGGATTTTCTCTATTGGTTGTCCACAATTTTCCAAAAYCGCGCATGGACATTACAACTCGCAATCATCACATCGCTCTTTGAAATTACATTCCCCCTCACTTCTGATTTTTGCAGGAACATGGCATTTTGCCATCCAATCAAAACCAATGTTTCATGCGTGCTTTGGAATGTGCAAAAGGTCTGTTCTAATGTTCAAAACAAGGCAGACAAAAGCTGAAGCGACTCCTGTTCACTTTAACGTCATAGAATTTCGGTGCAGGAGGTACCATACGTTTCAGTTGGCCTTGTTCTCACAAGAAAACCAAGTTTTCATGTCTCCTGAGACTGAAAATGACTGTTTTCTGTCAAAGCTGTTCCACTTCTGCAAATTATAAACCAGTTCTGCTACAAATCCTTAAAACGCAGACAGAAAAACTCCCCGTGTCTTTCTCGTGGATTTGTAAAGAATGTTGATTAAAGACAAGAAAAACACTCAAAATTGAGATGACTCATTGTGCATTCTCAGAAAATCTTCATCTAAAACCTAAATGTTTATTATCCCTGATTTTTTTCATTTCGGTTCATGAACCAGTGAGAAGCGTCTGCAGAGACTCAGTACCTGCGATCTTCTCAGGGCTTTCAGAGAACAGCAGGTCCACCTTTCCATCATCTGGGAAGCTTGGATCTGGCAGAGCGAGAGGAAAAAATAAAACACCTGGAAGAGTTCTGCGGTTCCAGAGTGAGCTCAGGTGTGTGAACTGCCAGGTTTATCAGTTACAGATTAAAGCTGAGCGGAGCAGACGGCGGCTCATAAATACCTTCACAGGCGCAGTCAAGGTCCGACTTGGAGAAGGAGAGGGTGTGTCCGACCACGAGTCCCGTGTGGAACTGGAGGCGGAAGACGACTCGACGGGCCGCAGGCCAGCTGGTTTTATCGTAACAAACCACCTAAAAACGACAAATCGGATTACGGCTCATGAAAACTGTTGAATCAGATTGGCTTCAGAAATGAAATCTGAATTAAAATCWKAGATATTTTGCTAACAGACAAAGGCACATGATTGCCAGCCTAAATATGCACTCACTTTAGACTTGTTTGGTTCTTGTTCTTAAAATTTCAATCAACTTTGTCTTTTTTTTGTACAGCTTATAATTGTATTTCTTTACTTTTTGTTGTCCTGTTTATGTGTAAACACGACTACAAAGTTTGAAAATTAAAAGCCACCAACTCAGCCGATGTGTTTCAGCAAAATATCAAATATGAGCTGCTGCGACTCCTGACCATGATGTCTCCTTTGAGCAGCTGAGCCGGCTGAAGAACGACGTAGAGTCGGTCTGTCTGAGCCGCACTGAGGTGGCTGAGAAGGAAACAAATGAAGATTACTTCAAGTTCTTCATCTAAAGGTGTTAAAAGAGAGTAAATGATGCTACTTACTAAACAGCTGATGTGCAAAYGGCGTGCATGCTTTGGTACACCCTCAGGAACAGAGAGCATCCTGAAACAGAATGAGAAAATGATTGTAACGAGCAGCACTAATCCAAAAATTAGTTGCGCTAACCCTAAAGCACTAACTCAAATATTTAAGTTCCCTAATTCTAAAGCACTAATCCACTGAAAAAGTTTGCCAGGGGTGGGCAGCACTAATCTAAAAGTTAGTTGCACTAACCCTAAAGCACTAACTCAAATATTTAAGTTCCCTAATTCTAAAGCACTAATCCACTGAAAAAGTTTGCCAGGGGTGGGCAGCACTAATCTAAAAGTTAGTTGCACTAACCCTAAAGCACTAAGTCACATATTTAGGTTCCCTAATTCTAAAGCACTAATCCACTGAAAAAGTTTGCCAGGGGTGGGCAGCACTAATCTAAAAGTTAGTTGCACTAACCCTAAAGCACTAAGTCACATATTTAGGTTCCCTAATTCTAAAGCACTAATCCACTGAAAAAGTTTGCCAGGTATGGGCAGCATTATGGTGCGTTCACACCGAACGTGATTTCAGCGTCAGGAGCAGCAGGTTTACATACAAAGTCTATGGTGGACGCGCTTCAAGCAACATTGGGAAGTTCTGCGGCGCCTCAAGCGCGATTAGAGTAGCGCGATTTGAACGATTTGAACGATCTGAGCGTTCGACGCGCTGAGGCTCAAATCGCTGAAGTTAGAAAATCTGAACTTTTGCAGCTCGACGCGCAGCATCAACCAATCAGAGAGACTCCAATGTGTGACGTAGTGACATATTTCCCGACGGGACAGTTTACTGAATGATGTCCACTAACCTGAAACAGACAGAGAGGAGCTTTTAGCTGAAATGAGTGCCTGCAGTCGGTGTCCTGATCCGCTCCAATGCGTGGCAGCGACTCGTCAGACTGGAAAAATAGTCCTGAAAGCGAGCTGTGAGCCTCTACTCTGAATTATCTGGTGAATTAATTATGAATTAATTATCTGATGAACGTGACATGCTCTTGCTCTCTGTAAATAAAGCAAAGCCACTTCCTCGTCCGACATTAAACAGCCCGACAGAGGAGGGAGGGGCGGGAAGGCTCTGCCGTGCAGCGCTTCAAGAGCTGTCCTGCGTCTGACCTCAAAGTGCACAAGCTTCAAACTTCAGCGTTGGCTGCAATTTTGAAGCTGAAATCGCGTTCGGTGTGAACGCACCATTAATCTAAAACATAGTTGCACTAACCCTAAAGCACTAACTCACATATTTAGGTCCCCTAATGCTAAAACACTAATCCACTGAAATTGTTAGCCAGGTGTGGGCAGCATTAGTCTTAAAATTAGTTACACTAACCCTAAAGCACTAACTCACAGATTTGGGTCCCCTAATCCACTGAAAAAGTTAGCAAAAGCTAATTTAAAGACCTCAGTTAGTGCTCCGAAATTTAGCTCCGAAATTTAGCAAGTGCTAATCACTAATAAATTAAAAAATTAACAAAACCCCTAAAGCTCTAATCAGAAAATTAGTTCCCCTATTAGTGCTTTGGTGCTTTAGGGGAAGTGTGCCCACCACTGGTAACAAGGGCTCAGATAAAGTAGTTCTCTGCAGAGATTGTTGTCCTGATTTACCTCCATTGGCTTTTGTTTTGGGGAGACCGTAAAGAACGACGCAGAGGAGAAAAGATGGCGACTGGCTCATCCTGTGTCCTCGTTTTAACACTCCGCCCAGCATCCAAACATAGCTGAAACAAACAAACAAACAACAAGAYGGTTGTGGTTTTTATCTCGGCAGATTCCTTCAATAAAGATTAAAGGTGTCGACCTTTGACCTCGGACGTCTGGAGTTCTTACCGTTTTTGCGAGGGGGTCATCTGAGCGGACAGCTTGTCGATGTAGAACCTCTTTGTGGCGAAATGGTCCAAAGAGAGGTCTGGACTGAGAGACACAGATGTTCAGATTATAAATGTCCCGTTTACTACAAAATAGCATATTTTATTATTAAAAATAGCCCTAAATCTCCAGAATATTTCATCTTTATCAAGGTTCTCCATGCGGAAATCATTATCTCTCAGAGAAACGATGTTCACAGTCAGATATGCACGTGCGCAAGTTTGATTTGAACTTTATTAACATCCCACGATAAGACGAAGCCAAACTAGTTTATGGTTAGGGTTGTGAAAACACTGCTAATTATAATTTGTCTTCCCACGTGCACAACAATAAGAATCCCTTCCTTAAAACCAAACATGACAGATCAGTTTATAATCTTCCGCTCTGAACTTTGACCTGCTGAAGACATCCATCCGATCAGCCTGTGTCTATTGTTCTGTTCCTGATCTTTGGCCTGCAAACATGTTCGACAGTAAAACATCGATGGTTCATGTGTTTACCGTCACGCGTCCGCTCGCATCAATAAATTCTCTAACACACAAAAACACTGAATGAAAACCTCTGGGAGCGAATTTAAAATCAAAAGAGACTTTACATTTAGAATATCCATTTTTATGAAGCATCCAATAGAAATGTCTGCACTTTGTTAGGTTCATAAAATGTTTTTYGTAGTTCCTAACAATGGATTATGTGGACAAACATTCCTGTTTTCTGATAAGACGGAGTGTCACCATCAGTACTAGAACGATTTTTCTTTTGTATCTACTTTCCAGCTGACGGTGAACAAATAGCTCCTTTTGTGGCAAAGTTTGCCATAGTTAAATAATAAAACAGAAAAACATCAGTTTGATCAGTGTTACCTGGGGAACATGTTGCTGAACTGGATGTAAGACGCCACAAGAACACCGAGCCGACCTTTGTCTCCCTGTTGAAGACAATAATAACATCAGAGTGAACTGGATGTAAGACACATTGTTAAAGAAGATGGTGGTGGAGGTATAAATGATGGTTTTGTTGATGGTCATGGTGATTGTGGTATTGTTGGTATTGGTGGTGAAGCTGGTGATGGTCATAGTGATGGTGGTGTTGTTGGTATTGATGGTGATGGTGGTGTTGATGTTGATAGTAGTGAAGCTGATGGTGGTTGTTTTTATGGCGGTGATTATGGCCAAGGTGATTGGTGGTGGTAATGTGATGGTGTTCTTGGTATTGATGGTGGGGTTGATGTTCCAATCCAATCCAATCCAACTTTTTTTGTAAAGCACTTTTTGCACCATAGTAGACCAAAGTGTTGTACAGAATCAGCACTACAACACAGCTCAAAAAAACAAAAAACAAAAAAACAAACTCAGTCACAAATAAAATAGGGAAAAAAACAGAAAAATAAGAGCAGGTAATAAAACACAAAGTAAAAACAAGGAATAAAAACAATAAAATGCCTAAAACCTAATTAAAAATSTAGAATAAAAACAAAAAAATTCTACAAAAAATGAATTCTAGTATAAATAAACAACACAACCTCTCACACAGTGTCAAAAGCCAAAGTAAACAAGTGGGTTTTAAGACGAGTTTTAAAAACAGCCAGTGAGGAGGACTGTCTAAGTTCGAGGGGTATCTCGTTCCAAAGTTTAGGAGCTGCATCAGCATAAGATCAATCTCCCTTGAGTTTGAGTCTGGTTTTAGGGACCCTCAGGAGCGGTTTATCAGCTGATCTGAGGGAGTGGGAGAGATTATAGCGGTGCAGCAGATCAGAAAAAACTCCTTCAAGATAAAAGTTTTGTTCATTAGAGATCTGGCGTTAACCAGACCGATCCTTGCAGGAGCCGGTGTTTCTTGGGCAATCCTTGTCCGGAGGGCACGGCAAAGAGGCCGCAGATTGTGCAAGTTCACCCTGTGGTAACAGGGACGAGGAGAGCAGGAGGTGTGGCGCTGAAGCACCTCATCCGGGCCGACGACAGGTACCAACCAGGTGTCGACAGAGTGGAGGGAACGCCATGAAAAAAGGCGCCGCAGCTCTTTTGGCACGATCCGAGAACCATCAGTAAAGCGCATCAAACGCAACCTCATCTTCACCAGCTGTCCACTGCGTTTTCCCCAGCGGCGGCGGCTTTTGTTCCACAGAGGTGGGGCCGGGTCACGGCATAAACAAGCTGGGAACCTTGTTAGAAGCGGGGGCACGGTTTTTTGCCCATCATGACCACAATATGCCACATCATTAGCATAATGTTGCAAATCCAAAAGTGTTTGGCAATTATACACAAGTAAGGCRTTGCCCTGTTGCTGAATAAAACATAAACAGCAGACAAACTAACAAAGTTTGCAGTGACAGGAGGCGAGCCATACACACTGGCGCCATCTTCAAAAGATCACCACAAATGAGATTTTGATGAGATGATGTTGACAGTAGTGAAGCTGATGGTGGTTGTTGTAWTGGCAGTGGTGATGGCCAAGGTGGTGGTTGTGGTAAGGGTCATGGTGTTTTGTGGGGATGGTGTTGTTGGTATCGATGGTCACGATGATGAAGCTGATGGTGGTTGTGATAATATAATGGTGTTGTGGGGTGATGGTCTTGTTGATGGTATGGTCTTGTTGGTGTTCATGGTGGCGAAGATGGTGGTTGTGGATGTGATAATGGTGATGTTGATGGTGATGAAGCTGCTGGTGGTGGTTGTGATAATGGTGATGGTGGTGTTGTTATTGATGGTCATGATGATGGTGGTGGTCTTGTTGGTATTGATGGTGGCGAAGATGATGGTTGTGATAATGGTGATGGTGGTGTTGTTATTGATGGTCATGGTGACGGTGATCTTGTTGGTATTGATGGTGGCGAAGATGATGGTTGTGATAATGGTGATGGTTTTGTGTAGTGATGGTCATGGTGATGGTGGTGGTCTTGTTGGTATTGAGGTAGTGTTGGAGTTGATAGTGGTGAAGCTGCTGCTGGTGGTTGTAATAATGTTGATGATGGTGTGTATTGGTGGTGAGCAGTACCCTGCAGTGTAACACCAGGACATGCTTCGGGTGAGTCTGCAGCCAGTTCTCCATCGTCGTGCACACGTTAAATATCTGATCCAAGCTGGGAGCGAGGTGCTCCAACCATCCTGCATTCAAAACCTGAAACAAACACAAACTCTGAAACATTTAACTTCATACAAACTACAWCTCCAGTGAAGTTGAGACTTTGTGTAAAACAAATATTTAATTTGAATTTGATTTCTTAAAGAGGCAATATTATGTGTTTCTCAGGCATATATTTAAATACTATACCATAATAAAGTATCTATGTCACCTTTAGTTGTTATTAAAATGCTGTTTTTATGTTTAAATAGAAAATAAACTTATCTTCTCATCAAACGCCTTGAAATCGGCCTCTATCTCTTTAAGAACCACCTTCCGCTTCCGTCC